TGAAGGGGGTCTGAATACTTTCCGTACCCACTGTATATTAATATAGAAACAGTCATGAAATATTTTAGTATTTCACAACATTACAGTTGGACTGTATTTAAAATAAAATAAATGCAGCCTTGGCGTGCATAAGAAGCTCCTTTCAAAAACATCTATTAAAATCTTAAAGTCTGTAAATGCATCAGATTACGTGTACAAGTAAAATGGATTGATAGAGCAATTTTAAATGAGTCATAAGTTTAGTTTGGACGTGCCAATGAAAATACAGAATGCATTCCTGAAATGTTAGCAAAAGGTTAAGATCCTTACCAGACCACCTCGCCGACATTTGAGGAGATGAGGTAGCGGATGAATTGTTTCATGTTGTTGTAAATGGCTCGACCCTCTTCCACAGCAGCCACAATGGTGGCAAAGTTATCGTCAGCAAGGACCATCTCAGAGGCAGTCTTAGCCACGGCTGTGCCCGAGCCCATAGCAATGCCAATTTCAGCCTTTTTCAGAGCAGGTGCATCATTCACACCATCTCCAGTCTGTGGGAATGAACACAGGATGGCAGGTCAGCTGCGAGAGAATGATTCCAACAATATAAACCATCCAGAAGAAATCCTTCCATGTTTATAGTCATTTAATGTAGAATCATATTTTTATATAAATATGCACTACTGTTGAAAAGTTTGGAGTCAGGACATTTAAAGACATTTATAATGTTAAATTATAAATTAATGTTAAATAATAATTATAAATTCTAATGTTTAGAAGATTTCTAATATTTCAAATAAATGTTTTTTAAATTTCTATTCATTAATGAAGTCTGCAAAAAATATATGACTGTTAGCAGCACAACTATTTTCAACACTGATAATAATAATAAATGTTTCTTGAGCATCAAATCAGCATATTAGAATGATTTCTGAAGGATCATGTGACACTAAAGACTGGAGTAATGGCTGCAACAAATTCAACTTTGCTATCACACAAATAAAGCACATTTTAAAATATATTTGAATAGGTAACAGTTATTTTTATATTTTTTTTATCAAATAAATGCTGCTTTGGTGAGTGTAAGAGATTTTTAAAAACATTAAAAAAAAAATCTTACCAAACCCAAGTTTTTGCAAAGTAGTATATATACAGTATAAAACCATTCAATGAGTATGTGTTATGATTTCACTGGATTCTAGTTTACCATGGCAGTGATCTCATCGTAGGACTGCAGAAACTCCACAATCTTGGATTTGTGAGATGGCTCGACACGGGCAAAGCAACGGGCAGTGAGCACTGCCTCACTCTGGGTGGCAGCAGACAGATCGTCAAACTCTCGGCCAGTGTAGGCCATTCGTGACACATCGTCGTCCTCTCCAAAGATTCCAACGCGTCTGCAGATGGCGACGGCCGTGCCCTTGTTGTCGCCTGTGATCATGATGACTCGGATGCCCGCTTGACGACAAAGTTTGATGGAAGCTGCCACCTCAGCTCTGGGCGGATCCAGCATGCCCACACATCCCACAAAGGTCATGTCTGTCTAAAGGAAAAGCAGCAATTATGATAACAGACAGTTCTTAATAAATAAAAATGTATAATTATGTATATGCTATAGCAGAAATGCCCTTCTCACCTCATACTCAATGAATCTGCTTGAGTCCTCCAGTACCATACTCTCTTTACTCAATGGGTTGTCTCGGGTGGCCAGAGCCAGACAGCGCAGTGTGTCACGTCCTGTGCCGTACTCACGGATCACCGACATGATCTTCTCTTTAATGCCTGCTGTCAGTGCAACCTTATTCCCACCTACACGAATGTGCGTGCATCTGTCAATCACTCCCTCTGGAGCTCCCTGCACCCAGACATAATGAGTTTAAGGAAGTTGCAGGCACTTTGTTGCACCACAATACATTTCAAACATAAAGCAGACCTGTGTGGAACAGCTAAATGAAACACTGGAGTGTTAAAGTCTTCCTGAAAAGTGTGATGTTACCTTAACAAACATCTTGCCAATGGAGGAGCGAGCTTTGTTGGG